CAGAGGCTCCAGCGTTGCCCCATCCTCGCTCTCTCTCTCCCTCTCTCTCGCTCATCCGATCCTCATCATCATCAATTGCGTTTCGGTGTGAAAATGATGCATGTGGCTCTGCGGTTGGTTCATTGGGATAGGAGCATGGAGGATACATGGAGGTTTCTGGTGTCGCTTCTAGCCTTTGACTTTGTCTGCTGCGCCTCGAAAATTGTCGGCGGCGGTTGCTTTTGAGCGCATAAACAAAAGCGCAGCCACCTCTTACTTCTGCTCCTAGTCCTACTGCAGCTTCGTTACCTTTTCGCTTGGTGCGGATCCTAAATTTACTTAATATTTCCATTTGCTTGTTTGATAGAATTTATGCGCGCATTCGGGCATCTTAGAGGGGCAGAGGCAGTCAGCATTCCATTCTACTGCTGCCTGGCCTCCACTCCATGACAATGACATCGAATGCGACGTAACAATATTTATTGACATTTACCGCGAGAGTAAGAAAACAAGCAAAAAAAACACACAAAGCAGCGCCTCAGAATGCAGCGACATTGCGACTAAAAGAATACCCCCTAATAACACGCTCTCTATGTGGAGCCGAGGAGGGTGTAGTGAAGGAAAGAAAATACACACAGCAAAAATAATCAGAAGCGCAGTGACATAAACAACAAAATTCCCTATTATTCTGTTTACACAAACTTTACGCTTGCCGGCGCGGATACTCGCTTGCATCTGAGAGCGTAAAATTCTAAAAATAGATTACGCTCTTTTCGTGTGCTGTGTGCTGTGTGTGTGTGCACTGCAGATGATTTCGGCTCTCTACTCATCAACGCATCGGTCGGTAGCTTGCAAAGTCCAATCCGTTTTACCGTTAGGTCAATCGGTCTGCATTGCATTCTCTGTTGTTCTCAATGTACAAAAGCGAGACCCAAGCAATGACCTAAGAGCAGGTAGGCAATTAAGTAGACAGAGAGACGGTTCAAGTCGCTTTCAATTTCGAGTCTCTCACATTTCTTATGGAAACATAAATCTGCAACTAAAATAAATACTTATTTGTATACATTAATATTTATTTTAAATACCCACTCAAAATAAGGGTAAATATAATTTCATCAAAACTGTTTCATTATTCCATCTTGATTCACCATTCAATTCCGAAATTATTCTAAGCTCTATGGATACAAGAAATTTCTGTTGCCTTTCGTCCTTCTGGCAACACTGGATATACCCCGTTTCTGGGGCAAACAGCATCAGTAGCCGCAAGAGATTCTACTGCAACATGTTGGGGCTTCTGCTGCTCCTTCCCACTCCATTCCTCCCCTCCTCTTGCTTCTGCTCTTCCTCTCGTTACCTGCTTTAACTGTCAGTTATCATTCACTCAACATTCAACAAAGAAACATTCGAATCTCTTGCTCGAAATTCAATTCCCATCCTGCAATGTCCATTCCTTCTGATGCAAATTGTGGTTACCGCTGCCTCTGCCTCTTCCTTCCCCTGTTGCTGCCTTCCTCTGTAGCCCCCGCACCTCAGCGGGTGAGTTATGGCAGCGGTTGCCGCTTAGACAGGATGTGTCTCTCTTTCAAGGCCTGCCCACTACCCAACCTCCACCCTCCCAAACCCCCAATTAAGAGTGGACATCGACACCTCCTTGCTACGACATCATTGCCTTTCTCTTTCCCACACACACACAAACACACCTGCAATAAGCAGCCGCAGCAAATTTGAAATGAAATATTTTCGATTCTGCTGTCAACATGAGTTTTGTTGACAACACATTAGCAACTGTTGCTGTTGCTGTGGCAGCCGTAGTGTGGCTCTCTGGTTGCCAGCCAGCAACATGTTGCCGCCGTTTGTGGCGACATCGAGCATTGGGGACGACGCTGGACGTTGCGCATGCGCCGCACGATTTGCAATTTGCAGCTAATTGAACGCGTGCGCAGGCGCAGTTTGTTGTCGACTCTCACGCTTCTCATACTCCCCACCAACCCCGCGCCAACTCCACTCCACACCTTCCCAACTCTGTTCAGCTCCTCGCGCTCTCCCTGTTCTCCCGCTCTCTTATTCCCGCCATAGAGCAAGCGCCGTTTTTTCTGCTACCCTGTGTGCAGTGGGTGTGATGATTAGGTAAGCGAAATGACAGAAAATGTCACCAGAGTCATGGGAAATATTTGTATAATTCGATTTACAGTCAATACCATTCAGCCCTCCATTTCTATCAATTTTCACAGGAATTCCAATAAAGTATATCTCTATTTTCCACATATTATACCTAAAATATAGGGCACTAAGCAGTTGTTACTCTAGAGACAGCTCTCCCATGTCTCGTTCAGTTAGAAAAGTGCCTGGCGACAAATGGAGAACGACATGGAAAAGCCTCCTCATGCGTGGTGTAACCTGAAACTGGAACCGACTCCCCAAGTCCCCATGTCGGCGCCTGAATCTGAATTCGAGACTCAGCCTGAGCCTGTGACTCGCTTTGGCTTTGCCTATGAATCGGAGCTTATTTCGATTTGAATTCAATGAATTTCGACAGCGACTCAGCCAGCAGCAAGCTGCAACTCGAGAGCAAGTTGCTCTCGGGGCGGCTGCAGCTTCTATTAATGGTGGTGACAACTGCAACATCAGCAGCAGCAAGCACTGCACCGAAAACAGTGGGTGGTGGCACAGCCTATGGAAGTGGACTGAATGACAGACGGGGGGTATCAATATTCCTGCAGTTCTCTAGGTTTTTTTCAGAATTCTTACACACAACAAAAAGCTAGAATTACTCAAAAATGATTTAAAAATTTGCCAAAATTATTATTTGTAGTATTTTATGTTTGAAATAATATGTGTTTTATTTTATCTAATTTCTCCATCTGGTCTGCAAGTGTTTTGGATAGAATTAAACCAATTGCTCTCTGAGCTTAAGGGCATTCTATCACGAACCGCAAATGCCCAACAATTAACCAACTGCTCCTACAAATAAGACACAAAAAATCATTCCCACAATGCCTCAATTCTCCATCATCTAACACACTCTCTCTCCATCCCTCACCCTATAAGTTCTCCTTGTTATCCATGAATTGTGTGACAGCAGGTCCACCTCCCCCCGATATTGTATCTATGCACTCGTATATCTATTCTGCGAGTGTCTGCCGTACGAATACGAATACGAATTCGACTATGTGGCTCTTGGTTTATTTATTTCTTTTTTTTGTCAAATGCCGCCTGCGGTGTTTCCATGTTGCTTCTGTTTCTGTTTTGGGGTCTTGTACGCCAATTCCGATTTCTACCTTCCTTCCACCCGCCTTGCCTTCTGGTTGGGGGGAATGCCAGTGCAATGCACTTGTCCAGCGCCCGAGCTTTGTCTGCTGTGTCTTTGGCCCCTTTTTCATGGTGTTTTTCGCTTGGTACCCCAATCTGCAATATGTTTATGCATTTCTTGCGGTCGCTTTGGCGGCCCAACAATGGCTTCTAGCCTTTTTGCCTCTGGAATGTGGCTCCATTAAATTGTGCAGCCTAATACACGATTTGTTGCTGCACCATAGCTGTTTGTTGTTGTTGTTGTTGCCTGCCGTTTTGTTTGTTGTCGCTGTTGATTAGCAATTTAATTGATTTGTAGGCAACAATTTGTCTGCCAGTACAGCGGCAGCAGCCGGTTTCCCCACAAATGCCTCATAAAATATTCATATCTCAAGATGTTGTTGGGGGTGTTTGTTCTCGAATATCCAAGCCACAATCTCATGCAAATCTCGAAGCAAAAAAAAAACATGGCGGCACGACAGAGTTAGTCAGAGAGGGAGACAGCAAGTTGGAGCCATGCAACAGGTGTGCAGGCGGCCCTTTTGGTCAGTCACAAGTTAGGTGTAGGAAAAGGTGAGGCTGCTGCAGGTATTTATAGGAAATATTATGCTCCTAGCGGAGTAATTCTATTTTTCTAGAATTTTTTACGAGTACCCTGATGTTTGCTTCTGCATTTAAAATATCTCTACACTCTTCTCTCTCTCTGTCTCCTTCCCTCAATTCTCTTTGCCTTTTGCTTTGTTTTTGTGCGCTTTTGCTGCTCATTCGGCTGACTGGCTGGCTGGCAGCCGTCTGCTGGTTATTAACCACACATTCAACAGCTACACCCATTTAATTAGAGGCCTTCTGCTTCACACACACTCTTCTCGTTGACGTTGGGCATGCCAGAGGGCAGCCATTTTGCTTCGCTGCTGCACTACTGCGGCTGCTCGTCTTCCTGGGTATAATCTTTCAGCTGCTTTTTGCTTTTATTCTTCGCTTTGTGGGTGGAGCAATACTTTCTTTCTTTCTAGTGAAATCTCAATTCCGATTTGACTAAACTTTTTTTTTATCGCTGAATGTGAATGGGAGCCACAACCCCTGGCCACTGCCCGTGTTCCCATTCCCGTCCAGTTCCCGTTTGCTGCTTATTAGCCACCGCCGTTGCCGCCGTCGCTGCGCTTTGCTTTTGCTTCGCTTCGACTGCAGGTGGCCGGCCGCCATTTGGGCCATGATTTATGCAGTGGCAAGGCATTAGAAAGGTCGTTCTCGCTCGCAGTTGCAGTTGCAGTTGTCGTCGCTTGTCGTCGTCCGTCGTGATCCAATGGCCGTGACCAAAGAATAGGAGGCGATCCGCAATCCAGCGACTCTGACTGCGACTGGTGAGGATTACAGAGCCAAAAACCCATTTGCACTGTCTGCTCAGTGTCTCTCAGGCCTCAGCGATGTCTTAATTAGGTTTTCGCTTGAAAAAACTGTCGAAAAAATGCACAGACCACGCCCACACACTCCGCTGACCCACTAATGTTGCTGCACTCTGTCTCTTTTGTTAGTCATGCCCCAATTTGTGGCGCATTTCTTGGAGAGGATTATAAATGGCAAGACATTTGTCTTGGCCACGTTAATGTGCGTCTCCCTTTGGCCAAAAAAAAAAGAAAACATCTTCGTTAGGCCGAGAAGTTCCTGGAAGAAAGTACAGTTGTGCCGGCGACGACCTACGCAAAAGTCAGACACTGACACACTCCCGAGGCGGCTTTGAGGCAAAGTTTTAGTTGGTGTAAAAAAAAGTTTATAAAATTCTTTAGTCTAAAAATCTTAATCTAAGGTCGAGTCGGGTGTGGCAGTCGCTGCTGCGGCAGCTCGTCGTTGTCTTAGCTCCTGCTGATGCTTCATTGTCACCTCCAGAAACTGCAAGTATTCCTCGTCAATGGGTGTCGCCTCCTCCTCCGCCTCGGAAGCGGAGCTCTCCTCCAGTTGCTCCTCCTGCTGCGTAGGTTGTGCCTGGCAGAGCCGCTGCACCTGCATGTGATGCCACTGGAAGAGCTGCCTGTACGTGTTGCTCCACATCTCAGCTGTTGTGGTGCCCTGTGCAATGTCTCCGCCCATGATTGATGCCGCCGCTTGCCTGGCTGCCGCTTCTTTCTGCTTTTGCTTGCGTCCGCGTCGGCTGCGCTGGCTGCTCCTTGAACGGCTTCTATTCCTCACCATCTCCAGGCGCACCTCCTGCATGTGCTCTGTGTCGTGTCGTTAATCCTGCCAAGGCATTCGTGCACACAAATTGTATTTATATTTTCCGACAATCAAACAAACAAAGCATAACAATATTAAACAGCGCTGCCAGAGAGCAGGCGGGAACAGCTGACGTTTAAGGCGTTGCCAGAGAGAGGCCACGGCAAGTGAGTGACAAAACAAAGCACAGATGGCGCAGCGCAAGCTATTGAGAGCAGAAATTGAACCATAGAGGGCGCCACCGTGACGATGTAGAGAAACTAAATGCAGATGCAAAAATGTTATGAGCTAACAGTCCGCTGTTCGAGCGTTCCAACAGTGAGCTGTTAACAACGCGGGCACAGAATGTTACACTGTGCTGTTAACAGCGCTGTTGCCTCGCTAGCGCCGCCAGGATTTTTGGCAGTTCTAGGAACTTTGACGGCAATTACGGCGGACCGGGCTGGGTAGACGGGACACCTTGTTTGGGTTAAAGTTTGAGAGAATTTTGTGGAGAAACTTTTTTAGAAGCCATCGACAGTTTTTACAGAGATGCAGCGTTCTGAATTTGCAATAAAATATTAATTAATGTTGTCATTTTTCATGGAAATGGCCTGCAATCAATTCAAATATTCACATCAATCCCTTTTCCAGCGACCATCGCTACATGCCTCAATGACTTCAATTTACTTTTGCTGCTTTCCGAGCACTTCTACACCCCTCTCACTTGGCAAAAGGGCAAACTCCAAATCCAAAGCCAAAGCCAATCCCTGCCAGAACCAGTGCTAGAGCCAAAGGCAGTGGCAGAGTCCAGCCAGCCAACGTGCATCAAAATGTTTTGTTTTTCTTGCAAATTCAAATCCCGTGCTTATAAATATCGGTCGATCGGTCTCAAAGGAGCAAAAGGCGTAGGAGTATGGGTATGGCCTTTACCGCTGCCGCAGGGCCTGAAAACTGGACTAAGGATTAGGGCGGATCAATTTGGTTTGTGGTGCGAATGCAAATTGGCCAGCGGTACGGTTTAAATGAGGCTCAACAAAAGGCGGAAGCAGTGCATGAGTGCATCCTGCTGTGCCGGAACAACAAATGAACAAGGAAGGATATCAATGCACCAAAAGACAGAACAGTAGAGGATGAGGATGAGGAGGAGGGCGGATCGATAGCTATCATTTACCTGCTTGCAAATTTGGTTTACACCTTTTTGGGCCAATATGTTCATAAAACAATTTAGAGATTTACAAGGGGATCAACTTGAATGTGGTTCAGTGGCAGCAGGACACACGCTTCTGTATCTCCTGCTGCTGTATCTTTGTATCTCCATTCTGTAGCTGTATCTTTCGCTCGGTCCTCTGCTCGCTTGCCCTCCTAGTGGGTGTGTTTGTATTGCGGTTTAAGTGAGACGCAAGAAAAAAAAGGCGCGTGCTTATGGATATATCATCATCATCCACAATCCTCAATCCTCCCTCCCACCCATCCACCCATCAGCGAGGGAGTGGGAGAGCACTTCACATGTGTTTTCTTTGCTTTCGAGCAGGGGTGGGAGGAGATTGGCTTCGCATTTTCATTTTCGATAAAGTAATATGCGCTCTCTGATGTAATATGAAAAATATCCTACGGCCAGGATTTGCACGCACTTATTCCCTTTTAATGGACTTGGACACTCACACAGTCGCACGGCCCAGCATCGGATTTATTTTTGCATATTTTTTTTTGGCGTGTTGTGTACCAAAAAAACAGGTTTTCATTCTTGATTGAGGAACTACTTTATTTTTATGGAGCTTCAGCTTTCATTTAAGAGGCCACCAAGAGGCCAACTACCAGGATCTTTCTCGAACAAGATGCTTTTTGGGATCACTTCTTTGAGAAGTTGGTACCAAAATGACAAGTACGTCAATTGGTTTTTATGTTAAAGAATATGCTGGAATAATACCAAAAAATACTAAAAATACTGGAAATAATACTAGAAAATACTAGCATAAGTCTACAAATTCGAAATCTATTTTTCGATTTACAGAAAGAAAATATTAGACAGATAATTATAGAAAAATATTTGAAAAATTTTCAGAAAATTACTAGAAAACACTTGCTAAAATACCACTGAAAATACTAGAAAAATACCAAACCTAGGGAAAACCCTTTAGCTAATGATAATATAATAATTTGGGTACTTTCAATCTCTCATTCACAAGCAGATCCCATGTGAATGTCTTCAAGAGCTTCCACCAGAAGCAGCTCTACCTTTTGGCAGAGTTTCTGCATCTCTTTGGTGCCACTGCTGAATCACCAACACAAACGTCGAAGCAACTCGAGCAACCGCCTTGCACCACAGGGCGCAGCTGAATTGGTCCTCACTTGAGCGACATTAGAGACAATTTGCATTTTGCAGAAGATGCAAATGGATCGTGGACACACAACGACAATCAGTGGAAGTGCAGGTACAAGGCACCGCCCGCTCGCAGCGGGATCTCTGCGTGGGATTATAATTCTTAAGCAGCGGGATCAGAGCAAAGCAAAGCAAAGCCCTACTGCGGCGGGAAAAGGGTGCACGGAAAAGGACAAAAGGCCTAAGGATGGGTTGCGGGCAGGGGATGCAGGAGGCAGGACAAGTTAGTAACTCTCATTACTTTAAATGGATTTCAATTAAGTTGCAAATTGATCACGAAAACAATTGAGTCCCGTCGAGGCGTTTGAGTGGGTGCTTTGGCTCTGGCCCAAAAAGGGATGAGCATTGCTGAAGGAGGTTGAGGTTGAGGTTGAGGTTCGGGTTCGGGTTGAGGTCCTAAGCTGAACAAAAGGGCTGTACGCTAGCTGCCTGCTGTCGTTGATCCTGCTGCTGCTTGTCGCTTTTTGGTGGCTGCTTTTGCTTCTGTCGCTGCTCTTTTCCATTCATCTGCTGCTCGGGATTCCATCTGTAAGCGATACGCCCGCGAGTGGCATCTGCTGCTCCCCCGCTCCCCCGCTCGCTTGCTCCACTTCTCCCAATGACTGGCAGTTTTCCCAGTGGCAGCCAAGTGGCATAGGTCCTGCCGCTGACAGGATAACGAGATTTTTCAAGTGGCCTTCCACTTCACACCCTTTTTGGATGCGTGATACGCGGCGTTGCAGGGGCGAGGCAGTGGCAGGCAGGCAGACCGCAAATCAATCTAAATCCAGATACAAGTTCTAGATTTCACTGCCACTGCCATGTCCTTTGCGTTGTCCTGCTGCTGCATGGCTTCTGCAAAGTCTTAGCAGATTTCTCTCGCAATTAGTTGGCAGGAAATGCTGAAAAATGCGGCGTAAAAAACGATTTTCCAAGAGCTTGAACACGCACAGAAGGCTCGCAAAGGATCACAGAGGATCACAGGTTGCAAAGAAAATATTTAAAAGATCGCAAGGATCGTGAGGATCACAGGTCCCTCACAGAGTCGAAGCAATCAAATGCGCATCAGCAATCATCGGCAAAAAAAGAGAGTGAGAGAATGCGCTCTGGCGAGGCGTGTGAAGAGCAGCAAAAAAAAAGGACATGCTGCAGCAGTGGGGGGAGGTTTGGTACTGGCTTTCTTCTGTTTTGCCATACAACATGGCTTATCCCCGGCTGAGCCTTGTTGCAACGATTTGTTGCAATGGTCAATTGAATGGCGGGGCAGAAACGATCAACACAAAAAATCAGGAGAACCAGCTACCAGGCCAGGACCTTTGTTTAGGCTGTGTTTTTTAGGTGCATAGAACACGGGGATAACAGCAGAGAAAATACACAGAGAGACAGAGAGAGAGAGAGAGAGAGAGGGAGAGAGCGAAAGTAGAAGAGAAAAACAAATAGAGCCACACACGAGGCACGGTACAGCATGGCAAGGAGGTGCTGCTGCCTCCCTTCTGTATCCCTACATATTCCTGGGGCATGCCTTGCCCTCCCTACAAACAGCAATCCTTTCATTACTCGTCTGTTTCTCTCTCGTGTTTGTTTGCCAATTTGTGTTTGGCTTTGTCTGAGAGGTGACGGAAAATGTCGAAACAAGAGGGAAACAGCAGCAGCAGCAGCAGCAGGACTCCACAGAGGTCCTGGGCATTGCCTTGATTCTGATTTGTGAGATTTGTCAAGAAAGAGTTACAGCAAACAGCAGGCCAGAAAGGGACAAAAAAAAGTGAAGAAAAAACAGAGACAGAAAGAAAGCAAAGACAGAGGAACAAGGGGCAAGGGACAGAAAAAGAAAGCAGCAAAAAGAGACAGAGACAAATCACAGAGAAATCAGAGAGCAGGAGGGCAAGTCTGCATCTCGTTTCTCCTTCTAATTAATTGAGTCGAAGTAATTTTGGGTTAAGAAGGCCAAAAGTTGTGCCCTTTTCTTTTTGTTTTCCCTTCCATTTCCACTGGACAAATATTTGGGCAAGTCTTGCTGCTGCTGCTACTGCCACACAAAACATCCTTCGGGGCACATAATTTAAATTTTTAATTACGCATCAAATCAACACGCAAAAATTATGACAGGCACAGCACCACACCCCCGACAACAACTCAACCCAAAATGAGAAACAACCCATAGAAAAAACCACACAAACCGGAGCCAGCACTTTGAGCCCTTTGTGCCGCTGGTAGCCATTGTTGCAAGGACATGGCAGGGGGTTTACAATGCGAACTTTGGTTTTGCGATAGATAAGTTTGGAATGATACTTCGAGTACGTTTGTAATTGATATGGAATGATGCACATAATTTTATGAAAATTTATAGAGATATTCTCTAAGCCATTTGGCATCTATTGAGTCGGTCTTGACACATTTCTTGGAATAATTTAAAGCTCATTTCAATATTTATTCTTGCACAAAACTGGCAAGGTGCTTGCCCCAAAAAATATAGATTATGTCTCTCGTTATGCAGGGAAAACTATCTTAAATCTGGTGCGAATATTCTCACAAATTTAAATTTAATTCCTACATTTCAAACCATATATAGTTTTTAATGAATTTTACATGTTTAAAACTTACCAATTCTCCGAATTATTAATGAACAAATTATGGATTTCTATGGAGAAACGAAAAATAAAATTTACTTGAATAATTAAAAATGGAAACTTGGAATAATTGGAGCTCAAATATGGATTAAATCGATCGAAAAACTATTTATAGAATTCAGTCTAACAATTTTTGAAGACAATTTTCTAGTATTTT